TATAAATTCCTGCAAAGTCTGTAATTTCATCTTTGAGTTCTTTTATTAGGTATAAATGCCATAATTAAGGATTTTATTTTTTTTTAATGGGAATTCTTCTTCAATCACAGGTGTAATGAAGAGCAGAGAAACAAGATGACTTCTGCTCTCAACTGACATTAAAGACAAACTGTTGCAAAGAACACCATCTATAAGAAATAAATTTATGTTTATAATGCAAAATTCCCTTACAACTAATGTTGCCATTTCACTTGTCCCCAGTAGAATGAAAGAGAGGGTGAATGCCTCTTACCTGGCTGTAGGTCCAGCTCCACCAATGTTTCCTCTCAAGGCTGTTCATCCTTGGACAGACTGCTGAGCAATTCCTAGCTATTCTGGGTGCACAGCCTGCACAGTGCTGTCTTCTGTATCAGAAGTTGTTCTATGCTGCAAGGAGCTCCTTTAGAGCTGTCACACAAGATGATGTTCTGCAGGACTGTGCATATATATGTAAGGCTTTGGTGAGGACAACAGTCACTGACCTTGCAGTGATCATAACTACGTCTTTAGTGTGCTCTTTGCCTGGGGAAAATGTCTTCTTGGTGGCCATTTCCACAGCTTCTGTGTGGTGCTTCCACACCAGTATGAACTATGCTTTTCCAGAAAACCTTGGTGCATTCACATCTGAGCTCACACCAATATGCTCCACTGCTCACCTAACAAAACCCTTTAAGCAGTCTCTTCCAAAAGTTTTTGAGTGGAGTCACAAAGGAAGTGGAATACAGAAGAAACACAAAACAAAGGGCAAACCCTCAAGTGAACATAAGCTAGCCAATATGTCATCATTTGGGGTGGGGGAAAAGAGAAGAGAAAACTTAAGAGCACTGTGCCTAGGGACCTGCAGGATGATATAACAGCACTATCAAAATCCACACAACTACCCAGGCATTAAATACGTAACTGCAGAGTAAATACACCAAACAAAGTGAAAGGGAAGGGCTTTGCCACACATCCCACTCAGGGAAGCAAAACACATCAAAGCACGTATGAGAGAAGGCTACTCAGAGAAGACTGCAACTGAGTTTGGGCTGTTAACAAGGTGATGAGCCCAAAGTTAGGCACACTGATACACATTCATGTACTCCCTGCAACGTACTAAGTTGTTCAGCTCATAATTAAGCCCATCACCCCCTTAACATTCAGCTTTTCCCCACAGCTCATAAGTATTTACCCTATCCATATTTCACAGAAATTTTTAATATGCTCCAGTATTTTTGCTAGATGTGAAATATTTTAATGAACAATCAAAATCAAATGATATCTATTAAAAAACAATAAGAAATTCATTTTGTGAAGCCCTGATCTTGATTTAACTTCTTACACCTAGCTTCTCTTCAATTCACAAAGATTTTGGATAATGAGTATATGATACATCCATGTAAACCTAAGGTTTTGCTGTCTATGAGCATGTAACAGACCAGCTCCAGGCAAAAGAGGACACACAGAAATACTATTAAAAAGCTCCACATTCCTGGTTTTGCAAATGAGAACAACAGCTCCCTTACAGTTAAAAGCACATTTCCACTTCAGATAATGGGCATTTTGCCACTGGCTTTGAGAAAACCAGGACCCTACTCCAGAGTTTAATCAAGATCTTATTGAAATCAGTGGAGAAATCTCAGGAGAAAACAGTGGACTGCCACATCCCTTTGCAGAGCTGCGCTTTTCTATTGGCAACTCTTTAAACAAACATGTTGGCAAAAGGTGCTCATAACTAGCTCTGATGCAATTTGAGTTTCCCTTTAATTTCACTTTTCAGTATAATTTTACACCAGAGACTGTGTGTAATGTGTGCATGCACGTGTGAGTGCATGCAACAGATAAATGGCAACCCTATTTTAAGCATGGCACATGAAAAGATGCTATCTAAAATAAGACTTGAACAAAAACTATTTCAGACACCAGTGCAAAAAAGATACATTTACTCTAACTTCAGCATGGCTTCTCATGCAATTAACCATTCATATGGAATATCTGACACAAAGATAACATGCTATACACTGCCTTTATAAATAAGCGTTAACATCAGATATAAGGACTTTCAGAGCTGCCAAGCAGCAAGTGCAACACAAGTCACGTGGACTACACAGCCATAGAGCAGAGTAACATAAATATCTTTTCAGAGAAGGAAAAATATAAGAATCTTCCATTGTAAATGAGGAATTAAGCCCTGTTAGTCCATTCTTTCCCCACGTGAACACCTGCAACTCAGCAAACGGTCAACCACAAAATTAAATGAAACAACAATACTGTCTTCAGTGTAGAAAGCACTGAGGAAGATAAACACCAACACTACCACTGCAGCACAGAAAACAAAATAACCTCACTCAGCATTAGACCATTCCAAGAGGACAAAACCCAAATGAAATCATATACTATTTACTTTACCAAACTACATTATCTGCAACAAGATGCAAGCTGAAGTGAGGGCAATAGTATGCTCCAATTTCATAAATAAAACCAAAAAACGCAACAGCATGATGTCAAGAATGAGCTCAGTAAAATGCAAAGACAGAACAATTTATCCATTCATTGCAATCCTGTCTGCAAAGCAGAATGCATGTATCCTGTGAGTTCCCTTTTTTGCCCCCAGTGTCAGCAATAGCTTGCTGTGTTCATCATGAGGCTTGAATGAGGCACCTAGACATATCCCAAGGGAGCAAGGGAGATTGTATGAATCTGAAGCTGAATATGCTACAGTGCACAACCCAGAAACCAAGAAGCTTCTAAATCTTTTGACAGCAGAGGCAGTATACACCTGGTCGAGCCATAGTTTGAGGACTGCAAAAGCAGACAGTCTTCAACCCAAATGCAGTATACATATGAGAATCTGTGTGCATCACTCCTAACACATACCTGTAACAGTACTGTCTGGCTGACAGAGGTAAATAGGACACAGGGAATGGATAGGAAAAACCATGACCATGATGTACAATCAGCACAGTGCAAGAAAAAGCACTTCTCCTTCAGTTTTTCTCTCTCACCCTACTTTGATAAATATTACTGAAATGTCCCTCTTCCAGCCCTAAAACCTGTCTCTTCAGGACCTATCACATCAACATACCCACAGGATAACTAGGGTTTATAGCAGTTCTGTACAAGAATTCTCTGCTGTGGGTGAAAAAGCGAAAAGAAATGTGCAAAGTTAATCCTCTTCTAATTACTCCAGAAATGTGCATGCTAATGGTATCATAATAATTAGGACTGCAAAGTAACTAAACTGTGTAAACGCCTATGAGAGGGAGCAAAATTTGCACACTTGGAACGTGCTTTGACTGAAAGTACTTGAGTAATCCCTCTGAAGGACTGTACTGCTGATGTTCTGCCAGTATTAAAAACATGAGTGTAGACAGTCTTTGTCCTTTCTAACCATCAAAGCACAGAAAAGTAGGGCTGGCAAAGACCTCATGACATCACTTTGCCTAACTGCTGCAAGGCAGAACTGGCACTACTTATATCATTCCTGGCAGACTCTAGAAATCTGCTCTTAATGGCCTCAAGTAGTGGAGAGTCCACAACCTACCCAAGCAGTCAGAAACCTCTTCCTAGTATCTGAGTTAACTCTCCTACTGCACTTTAAATCTGTTACTCTTTCCCTTTGGCACACATAGCAGTTGATTTTGCATATACCATTATTCATACACAATTATAAGCTATTACTGCATCCCTCTGCCCCTGACTTTTCTTCTGCAGGCCAACCAATCCCATTCTTTCCTCAGAAGTGATGTTATCTAGACCTATGATTGTTCCCACAGCTCTTCCCTGAACTTCCTCCAACCGTTTATCCTTGAAGTGCAGTGCCCAATCTGGACTCTGTGTTCCAGTTGAAACCTTTCCAACACTGGGACGTCTTGCATGTTCTCCCATTTAGTTACCCCAGTAAAACGTTAGTATTTTCAAAACAGCTTGACATTGGTGACTAATGTTCAGATCATGATTCACAATGAGCTCCACATAGTTTTTCAAGGAACTACCAGAACTGCAAAAAAAGGCTTAATAGTTATAAAGGTGTTCTTCCTGCCTAAGTATACTTCTCTGCACTTGGCTCAGTGACAATCCATGCTGCTTTTAGTAGAACACTTCTTCAACCTGTCAGCATAATTCTGAATTCTAGCCTTTCTCCCAATGTTTTAGCAGTCCTTCCCATCTTCATGTCATCCAAAAATTCAACACTCATACTCTATCCCACCACTGAGGTCATTAATGACAACAATGATGAAAACCAGACCAACCCTTCCCACACTTCAATATATCTTTTCATTAGAATGACAAACCATTGTTAACTGCTATTTGGTACGGAAATCCAAGCAGTTTTGTATAGATTCCATCGTGGTTTCAATGAAGACATGTTTTCCTTGATTGTTTATGAAACTGTCATACCTTATGTTGAGAACATCACTAGAAGTCAAGCTGTTTGGCCTCCGTTGTGCCTTCCCTAGCTACAAGCCTTGATACTCAACTGTAGAAGGACATTTTCAAGTTTTTAAGTCACGCTGGTTGTTACTGAACTCTGTGGTCTCCTTCAGGTGCTTACACATAATTTGTTTGCTCCAGTTTTTCAAAGAACAAAATAATTTTCCTGAAATTCTCTTCTGTCTCTTTATCTCATACTTTTTCTTTCCCACTCCTCCAGCACATGACCTGTCTTCCCTGAGTTCTCAGAATTAACCCCAGAGGCTTCTAAGATGACTTTAGCCAATTCCTTAAGTAACCTAGAATTAAGTTCATTGGGCACAACTGATTTGAAAACATTAAATATGCCTGAATACATTCTGGCCTGTTCTTGCCTTTCTTTAGCTTGTGATTTTACTCTCTGTCATAATACCATAAGCGTGAGTGTGCATCTAGTATGACTCAAATGCATCAGTGAGAGCAGTTTTGATCCCTGAGTTAAAATGCAATATAATTTCTTGTCCTTATATCAAGATGTAGATTTCTTTAAATCATAAACCTCATCATACCTTCGTTCATTGTCATCAAGATGAGCAAAGAGCACGTTCTTGGAAATGGCCTTCGCCAGAGCAGTCATAGTTTTATAGTCCTTTGGAATAACCTGTAGAGAAAGGAATAAAGGGTAATTACATACCTGGTTATATTTCTTTATAGATCTTGAAATCTTGAAATCTATAGAAAATTCCACTATTCAAACACTGGATTTCAAACACTGAGAAAGGCTTAGGCTATAATATAAATCCACTAAGAAAGTAATACATTACAGTTTTGACAATGTGAGGATAAGAATTTATGCTCCCAATATGAGAGCCAAAACAGAAATGTAAGATCCAGCATGAGAGGGTAGAAGGATATCCATAAAATACTATAATTAGCAGGTACTGACAGCTGTGTAGTCTCCTTTCAAATCTTTTGGACTGAGGAAAACATATTTCATTGTCTTCTTTCCCCACAAACAGTATCAGAAGCAACCTACTTTAAAAACTAGGGAATGAGCAACATTTCTTTAGACGAAAGGTAAAAATGTGTGGATTACATACTTTTCAGTACTGGTTGTTGTATAAGGAACCACACTCCTGCTAGGCCCACCTGGGTCAAAATCCTGTGCCTCTGCTTCATGGAATATGGGAAGTACTTGCATTTGAGAATGAAAAGACATTTTTATATGTTAATTAGAGAGATGGCAAAGGTCCTGTTGAATTTGCTCAAAATATATGCTGAAATCCAGGAGTATGTTTTCATATTGGATGAAGCGTTTTGTAAGACTTTTTGCAAGTTAGGCTTTCCATTTTGGTACACATTTTGGTAAGACATTAGTAAAGACACTGTATCTCTCTATTTGCCAAGCATTTCCTTCTGCCAGTCACAGACTTAGTGATTATGAGAGACACAAGAAATCTGTAAAAAGGTTATGACTTGTAGAAGATGTCCTTTGAATTTAGTAATGTGATTTTTCTTAATACTTTCATTATAACTGGACAACATCAAGCCTAGCAAAAGTTTTAAGTGTTAAATAAACCTTACTTCGATCTGAAAACTAACATCTGTTTGCCTGTTTCAATTACTGTACAAAAAAGGTCTGAGAATGGGCATTGCTCTTTTGTACTTTCTTATGACAGAAATACTGTATCTGTCTTATTTAAGTTACTATGTACACTGATGTGTAGGCAGTTTCCTTTCCTCATCCTGGAAAAAAAAAGGTACTACCCATCCAATAAGAAGGATGTCTCAAATGGGAAAACTGATCTAGCATCAGTTCATCAGTTCTTAAAAAAAAATTGATCTAGATTTATTTAAAAGGAAAATATTGCACTGCAAAGATCTAAAGTTAAACTCTGGTTTCAGACATCCCTTATATTAACTGTGGTAGTCATTAGACTACTTAAGTCTATAGAAACAGATATGTATAAACATGTAAACATATCTGTATCAGAGTGAAATGTAATCTAATTTATCAAAAGTTTAAATTCCTCAATGTTAAATAAAATGAGCATTTGGCCAGTATCTTACTCTTGGTTTTCACCCTATCAAACAAACCTGGGATTGAATTGCAGTCCTGAACCCTTGTTCCATTAAGAATACCCTAGCAGGTCAGCTTACTGCTGATGAGTCAAAAGGGTAGATAATCAAATCTCTAAGACATTCAGCCCCAACCCTTCTGGCTGATTATGGAATAGCATTGTCTAGCCTTTCTCAGACTAAATCTGCAGCAATTAAAGCCACAAGGCAGAGACCAAAGTGGGTCTGTTGGGACAGGGACACAGAAAACCAAGGAAAGCTTCTTTAAGTATCCCATTAACCAGGCATCTGACCAAAATCAAAGCCAGGCAGAAACTTGACCATTTCTTACATCCCTCTTTCAAGTTATCACTGAGTGTTCTCTTCAAGCTGACTTGACAGCAGGACTCCAATTCTGATAGTAAACTTCATGTTATGTCAGATGTGTTGACAAATATTGCTTTCTCTAGTTTCAGGAATGAAGCAATGAAATAATCTTCCACAGAGATCTTCCTCTGAGCCTCTCAGAATGGAGCCATGTGCTTGCTCAAATCACAAAGCTAAATCTCCTTTGACTTTCTCCCCAGTGACATAACTCATCGCACTGCCTTTAGCACTACTCATCCTATAGCTCACCCCTTCAAGGGATCCTTTAAACTGGCTTATGACCCAGATGTGTTTCTATCCAATACCTGAATTGAAGCCAGTGATTCTTCCTGGCTACTATCTAAAATTCCATCAGTTTGGAATAGTGTAGCACAACCCTTGCCTTGCTTTTTACACGTTTAAATTAGTTTCATAATCTGTCCTTTCAATGTCTCTCTTTATTTCTGTATTCCAGAAACCTCTGCCACAAACATCCATGGGATTCATTTGCTGATGGCAGAAGTCAAAGCACTGACAGAAACCTTTCCAGTGCTAGTTCTATACTCCTTGCAGCCTCGGTAGCCTGACAAGAAATTATCCCTTAAATTATTATTATTTAAGTTCAGACAGTTCTTCAGAAATGAAAATCATAACAGCCCAGTCACGGAACACACAGAATATGATCTGTACCCCTTCTGCCAGTTCATTCCTACCCATGCTACTGTGAGGACTTATTGGCATCATTGTTGAAAAAGGAAAAAAATAAAGTTTGTTTATAAAGAATTACAAACCCAAAGGAATTATAAACCATTATAAACCTAAAAGAATTACTCAGGGGTGTAGGACGGAATATTTCCTTTGATTTTCAGAAGAGTCAGATGGAACCCATATTAAGCAGAGACAGATGTGATCTCTTCATGAAAGTTTTTAATGGGGATATTGCAAACTGCACAGAAAGAAAAGCGTTTGAAAGTGGCTTTTAAAATATCACACAACCATTTTAACGGTGTAGTGCACTACTAGCATGATCACAGTTCTGTTAAAATTGACTGTACACCTGCAAGTATTATTCAACTGCCACAAGAATATTCCTCCATACTTGTTTTTAGGATGAAAGGCCCTCCTAATTCTTTGTTTCTTGGGACAGAAATCCTCAGAGCAGCCAGTGAACTTGTATCATAAATGGATGACAAAAGCACAGCTGATGGCAGAGGCAAAAAGTATTCTGCCAAAAAACAGTGACTGACAACATGTATTCCCATAAAAACAAAGCTCTCTGGTTTAAAGCTACTCCAGGTGTGCACAAAAGCAAATTAGCAGCATCTGTCAACCTTACAAAATGCATCTTTAGGCTAGCTCCCTAAACAAACATGACATACGTTATTGTAATGTCTGTATTTTAATAACCTTTGAAAGCTTTGGCCAGTTTAAAAAACAATTCCAGGGTTATTAAGAGACATCAAGGATATAAAATAGCTAGATAATTTTGTGGGGAAAAAAAAAGGGATGTTAAACCAGAGAAGCCCAAATCTGTGTTTCTACTGAAGAAATTACCTAATTTGGGATTGGTATTTCTTCAAAGACAACAGTCACATAAAATCCCCCAAGTATAGTTAACAGAACTCCAAAACCCATGGGTGAGGTGCTACCCAGTCAACATGTGAACCATGCACCTGAATGGTCAAGAGAACCTAAATGACCTAAGTGACCGAGGTGAGAAGAAAACTTGAGCTAGAAGTGACTTTTTTGGAAGAAAGGCAGGAAATGCAGCAATAGAAAAGGCTGTTTTCCAAAACTGTGAGGCTCTGACAACACTCAGAAGCTGCCAGAATCTGTGAATTTTGACAAAATGACTGAGGCTTACTGACCCTCTTAGAAGGGGTCAAAAAGGAAAGAACAGAAAATACTGAAGCCATATTGATGGAGAAAGTAATTCGTCACGGAGACAACAAAAGAACTTGAGCGTGAAGAAGATGGTCCAGCAGTGCATATGCCAGCATTAGGATACCATCCTACAGGCTGACCCATGAGTCCAAACTACGAGCAAAATATGATTGTCCTGTACCTCTCAGAACCAGACAGTAACACATTACCTTTCTGACATAAGAAACAGCATCTTCCTCAGTGTACACCTCTGCACTGACTCCTCCTCTCCTGCGTCGGGCCTTTACCACTGGGTTTGGAGGAGGAGGGGAAATCTCATCATCATGAGAATCAGACTGGGAACTGGATTTCTGACGAGCCAGTATTTGTTTGCATTCTTCCTGCAAGACAAAAAGAGACAATGAAACAACTCTTACCCATGTAGCCACGTTGCTGGATATACTCAATTCACTCTTCTTTTATGACCACAGCAACCCCCTCACTCCTACATTTGGCTGGCTGTCAATTTACACACATGTACTGCTGAAAAAAAAATTAAAAATTTAATGTGAGCAGCCTGAGGGACTGACACTTAACTACAATGTGCGTACAGGTATCATCACTCCAATATCTGACCTGTTCAAGTCTTTCTTACACCTAATGGAAACCAATATATTGCAAACTTCAGACATATCTTTGCAGCTACTCCTGGATGAGAAAGCAAAAGAAAAAGCCTCTTTTGCTTATTCTCCAACATCACAGCTGTTTTTTTCTAGTTGGCTTGTATGTATCTTTCTTTCTTGTACAGAGGACATATCAGAAGCCACACATCAATATATTAGATAGGTTTCTTCATCTTGTTCTTGCCTTGCAGGCTTAGTATCACCAGCAAGAACAAAGATGCTCCCTACTCCAGAACTTCTGCCATATAGCAGATTTACAATCAATGGGACTACTTCCAAGCAAGCAAGATCCAAGGTAGGCTCCAGAGGACTATGAAAAATGATGGCTGGCCTAGCACCAGCTGGCCAGTAGGGAGGTTATTCTAATTTCACGCTCATGAAACAGAGAATCAAATACAAAGGGGAATCCCTGAAGAGGTAACAGGAAGCAGTACAGAAAACCTTCACGAAAGGATGTCAAAGTTGCAAGACTTCATCAATTCATACACTGAATTGACTTCTAAAGAATTAAGACAAGTAAGATCAGTCATAATATTTTCCTAGAGCCCCACCTCCTATTCTTCAGTTTCCTTGGATTCAAGGGAAAGCACACAGGAGTAAAGTTCTCTTTGCACCATACACATGTATCAGTCAAAGGAAAGGAGGCCTGTCTGCTTGTTCCCAACCCACCTCCTTGCCTCTGGTAGCACTTCAGCCTGGCATCCTGTTCATAACACACCAGACTGCCTTTCCTACTTCTTTAGTTCCTTCTTCTAGTGATTCCTTCTGATTTTCACTGAGCTTGCCTACAGCAGGAAGAACTGGCAATGGGATGGACCACATGTGCTGTCCTCATCTTGTCTGATACAGGCAACTGAAGGGCACATGCAGGAGAGACATGAGCACTGTAAGAAGGCAAGCTGTCTTTTGCAGCAGTAGTCCAGTAATTTTATTTGCTGGTATCTATTATGTTGCCTTAGGCATAACTCACACCCTGCTAGTCTCAGGGTTATGTTGATTAACATACATGTAGTCAGCTATCATCCAATGACACCTTGAACAACTCTCAGGCTACCCAAAAGAAAATACAGTAGTGATGAGGTTCCTCATCATTGGGTACCCCATAAAACCAACATTCCTTAAACAGGGATGCCAGAACCTGGCCTCTGCCTTACCCTGTTAATTTCCAATAAGACTTTCCAATCAGAGCTAATACATGGAATCAGTGGAGGTGGGAGGATCTAGGAGCACCAGCACTAGACATGTGGCAGGTTACCAACATAGGTGGTTGGTCCCATTGACAAAGGAAATGAGTTATAGTTCACTCATTACGTATGACACTAGAAAACTGGCACAAGTTCACCATTTTTAAGCTTTAAGAAAAACCTCCATTTTGCCACTGATGTTTATAAATGTCTGACAAATCCAGTCATGCCACTTGTCTCTTCACGTTTTACTCTAGTTTATTTCATCACCACCACTGACACTGCCCCTCTCATTAACCTAAGGAGCCTTTGGCACCAATCTTTGATGTATTACTGCTACTTGAAATAAATAATTGAATAGTATTTCCCAAGCTGCATAATTCAAAGTAACAAGTCACACATGCTGATTAAGAGACTACTGAAATACTTAAGAGACAAGCACAGAGATAAAATGTAGAGGGCTGGCTAAAGATCTGACTTTCCAAGGTCCTGACCTGCCTCAGAAAGTGCCAAATTCTTTCCGAGATCAGTATTTTTTTTTAATTGGGATTACAACACTGCAGCTCCTGTGCCATAACACAGTTGAACAAGGTGCTGTTACCAAAAAACATTAAAAAAAAACCCTGATTTCAGATGTATTAATACTTACTGTAACTTCTTTATTTCCTATTCAAATTTCAAATAGCACTGAGTACGTAGCAAATAACTCAGCCAGATTTCCCTATCATGTAAGAACTGCAAGTCCTATCAAGCATGTTCATCAACTTCTTCCCTACTTCTCTCTCGCTTCCTTAACTACAGTGATGCACTTGTAGAAACACAAACATTTTAAATACAAATATATATGCTACATATTATCACTACTTAATATCTAGTCATCCAAACCAAGCCTATGGCTGAAGAATTTCAAATACTATTATTGGCTATTGCCATTTATGTACCCCTGATATTGTTAACATTCTCTGTTTATATTAAATGAACACAAGCAAATGCACCTTCTTCATAAGCTTAACTGAAAGCTAATTAAGATTTTTTTGTACAGTTAGCAGCTGAAAGTATACTAAAAGGTAACTATAACAAGAAGGCTCTTAGGTAACTATTTAATGGTATGTAGCGCTTACATAGCTCTTTTTATACATAGCATATTTACTCAGAGAGAAGAGTAGCACTTTGCTCCATTTGAATATCAAATACACACTTCTTTTTCAGTACACACTGTATAAAAGGCACTTTCAAGGAATTAATAAATAACATCTCCCCTGCCCCAGGACAGATTTATACATGAAGAAAACTCAGTGAGATAAAATTAATATCACAAAGCATGCTCTTAAACCCAAATACTTTTTAAAGCCAAAAAGGTATTAAAGGATTATAAAAGTGAGTTACTATATGATTCACTTTAAAAGGAAGTCTCTTCACTACAAACTCCTTTTATGTAAACAGCAGACAGCTGACTGGCTGGCTTTTCCATACGCTGCTGTTTGTAGTCTAGGTAGGATTTCCACTACTGAACTAAAGAGTGCCTTTTGAAAATAAAAGCATAGGCTCTGACCTAGGTTAAGCTTTCAAAAAGCCTCTTCCAAGTATCTGGGGTTAAAACTACACAAATATAGCAAATATTTTAAAGGAGGAATGGGCTCTCTGAAGAAGAGTTCTTCAAACACTGATCTTCAGACACAGCTTGATGTGAACGCCTGTGCAGAACTCACTTTCAAGTAAACACCTCACTATCTTTTGTTGTCATGACAACAAGTGTTTTCACTCTCTATTCAGATGGCACAGATAATTCACAGTTATGGGGCCCAATTATGTACACCTTAAAATAAGAAAACACATGGAAGACACACTGCAGAACAGTGCAATTGCCTCTGAGCAAGCCCCAGTGATTATCTTGTTCCTCCCTTCACACTAGTATCTGCACCGGTTTGAGTGGAGATGCTCCTGACTTGTAGGACATGGAGGGTCTGATTCAGTTATCCCAAATATGGCCCAGTGCCATTCTGGGGGACCTTGCTCAGCTTTCAGCTGTCAGCTGAGGACATGAGTCTCAAGCTGTCCTGGGTCACATCTACCACCTTAGTGGGCATTGCATGTAATTTAGGAAGTCTTAAATGGCAGCAGGGTACCACGTGTGAGCCACTAACTGAAGCCTCCATCGTCCCTGTCACAGTCCAATATATTTATGTATCAACACACCCCAAATCTACAAATCAACATTGCTGAGTGACAGTAATACCCCATTTCCTATACAGATAATCTAAGTCTACTTCTATTTAAACTGTGTTGTAAGTGTCCAAAAACCTAGCTGAAGTTGTAAACAAAGGTGACTTCAGGGGGAGGTGGACAGTGAAACTGGAATACCATTACTGACTTCAATGACAATAAACTGGAAAGGAAAGAAAATATACCCTTGTTGCCCCAAATTAAAAGCATCACCCATAAATAAAACTGCAGTGACCCGTTTATGTTTAGAATGTCCACCTTCAGCTAAGACATTTGTTCTACAAGGTGCTGAGGTATAAAGGCAGGAATTTAGCACGCTGTCCTCAGCGTATGGGGTCACTGCCTTTCCTGATTAATGTTTCCATGAGCTTCTAATGAGTTTAAACACTGCAAGTGAAGTGACCACAATGCCAAGGCAGTTTTCAGGTTTACCCTTCCTTTCAGACTGCTGCTGAAGAGCACACACGCTTCCTGACCCAGAAGCTTTTTTCTCTATCGGCTGGAGCATTTCCAAACAGAAATTCACTTCCAGTAGTTCCTCTCCTGGTCTCTCCTTTCAGGCTTTGTCACTACCCGGAAACTCAGAAGTTTCAGTTGAAGGAAGGACAGCACATAAGGAGGTTCCACGTCACTGTGCAGCTTTAGAACAACATCCCAAGGAGACTTTTAAAAGCAAGTCAGCCGTTTGGTATCACTGCTCATTATCTCTGCTCTGCCTCCTACAATTTATTCATTGCATTCAAAAGCAACAACACAAAATGCACTCTAAATGAAATATTTTTTCTCAAGCTCACTCATAAAGTTTTCTTACTGACAGAACTGGAATCTGCTTTCTGTTTATTCACAGAAAATGTGCAGGATAGTTTATGTGCATGTAACTAACCTCTCTTTGCACTGGAATTGACCCAGAGGAGGTGCTCTCAACACAGGAAGGTTTCTAACACCACCCCATCACTCCTGGAGGCTGACATGATGATTTACAGCAGCTAATAAAGGCCAAAAGCAGAACACTCTGCTCTGTTGGAAGCACAGAACTGATGCCATTACTGACAATGGGAGAAAACTGGAAGGTCTCAATGTCCTTACCAGTCTTGTCTTTGCCACAGTGGATAACTACACTACCTTTATGATCATTCAGCCTTGTAAAAAGAGACTTTTCACACAACTCCAACTACTGTTCCATTGCCTTCCCGATGCTTATCTTCTAAAGCATCATTAAGAAATATCTGTAACATCCACCCATCCTACTAATTCACTCCATAGTTACCCACTGCTTTGATTACTACTACCACAACCTTGATGGCCTTTCTG